CGGGGTTCAAACCCCAGCATTTTAGTCACTTTATCTGAACTTTTGTATAACTTTCAAACTCCTAAGTGGATGATTTTTCACATAGGAGGCCATTCTTTACCTCTAAACATTTTTTTTCTTACTTTTAAAGGATCTTAAGGTTCCATCTGTTTTTGTATTCAAGCCAGTTTCCTGGCAGTGCTTAGTCCTACAATGTGTGGCTTTCATTTTTTTTTTTGTTTGGTTTTTACTTATAAAAAAAAGAAAACATGGCTGACATTCTTTCTTAATGAGATTTTGTACTAAAGTTACATCCAAAGTTGTGAGATTTTCTTTTTTCTGAAATAAATGTCTAGAAGCTATTTGACTGAAAAGATGATCAACCTTCTGTAGAGCTCTTCAGATTTAGAATATGCTTATCAGTCTATTTCCAAATACTTTTATTGTGGTTTTCTTTTTCTGTATCAATGAAGCATGCTGGATTTGTTGCTGAAGATACATTTTTTTTAGGCTTTCTAATAACAACTGGAATAGAAGATGTCTTATTTTTAATTCAAGTCTTTGGCAAAAGCTGATTAGTGGAAGCCTCTAATTCTACCTTGGTTAAAAAAATACATAAGCTTGCAAAAAAAGTCATCACCTCACTTCTGTCATAACTCTGCATACAGTATGAAGTACACGTAAACTGGCAGATAACTAAAATGTTATTCAGGTTTGAAAGTTGCTTTGGCCACTGAAATAGAAATGCAATGAAATCAATTCAGTTGGTCCTTGCTGTAGTGTTTCAGGAGATTCTTATGGAAATTACTCGATCATGTTTGCACTGTTGTTTGCACAGGGCAAGATTGACATTTAGTTCATAGGTAAAGGATAATCGCTATAATCACTTGGTAATTACCCCATTACTGATTGGTATTAACCATTTTACTGTGGGATACTGTAAACATTTATGTGATTATTTTAGGTCAACCTGCATCATTAATCCATATCCCAAGTGATAGCCTCATGAATGCAAAACAAACAAACAAAAAATCCCCAGACAACAAAATAAAACGTTGTGGTTTTGTCATTTACAGTGTCTGTTTTGGCCTGGCTGGTTAAGGCCATAGAAACACCTAACAATGAAATACTCTGCCCAAATACTAAGCCTACAAAGGAACAGGAAATTCAAACTCATATGCTTTTATCTGCTTGGAAGCAGGACTGTTATAGATCACTTATGTTTGTGTAATTGCTTTAAATCAGTATCCTATAGCCTCATTCAAAGTCATACTGGATTAAAATTATTTTTCCCCCCTCTTAAAATAACTACTTTGTGTATCTTCAGAGGAGAACCCCTGGGAGTCAGGAGGAAGTCTTGTTTACAGATCATGTAATGTTCCTTAATAATGATGTGTCTTTTTCCTCTTAAGGCATCGCTGGCTTCACTCAATGACAGATGACCCTCCAACTACTCATCCACCAGTTGCTCGTAAATTTATCTGGGAGAACCATATATTCAATCTTAGTGGCACTCCTGGACAGTATGTACCTTACTCTACTACTCACAAGAAGATACAAGAGTGGGTCCCACCTACGACAGCTAGCAAATAATAACAACAAATGTGACTTGCCTCAGCTTTGGCTGTCGGTGTAAATTGTATTTTCACTGGTTTTGTTCAAAATAAAAGCCTCCTATAACAGCTGTATCTTGGTTTATTGAATTGGGGTGAAAATGAGAAAACATTGGGAAGAGGTAGAGGACAGAACACATGACAAGTCTTAATCTCATCAAGATATTGGGCTTTTTCTTATATTGTCAGTGGCTCTTGTCTTCTCATTAGCAGCTCGCAAACTCTTTTTAGCATGATAACCATTCCTGTGACAGTCACTTCTCACATTTGTACCATTCAACAGAACAATATAAATATGAAGTACAGGATTCTCATCTTCAACATTATCTTGTTATAGTCTCTGCATGGCAAATAATGTACTATCTATATCCTATTTTAGGAAGCCATTTCTTTAAATATTTTTAAGACAAGTTAGAATAATAAGGTCAGTCAAGGATTGCAGTTTTTAGGCATAAGTTGCTTGTGCATAAGTGTGCATGCATGGCTGTGTTACAGCATGGTATGCTACATAATATAAAACTTGTAAGGCTGCTGTAATCAAATGACATCTCACCCCCTAAGGGAACTCAGCCATGAGCAGAAGGCCTCCTGTCACAAAAATCTTTTTTGTTGCTTCTGTGTTACTGAGATTCATTAGAAGATGTTCTCACAAGGATTTGGGATGGGGTGTTTGCCTTGTGGTGACAAGACTTTAACTGTCTTTGGAAGTTTGAGAGTGCATGCTTTTTTGGAAGGTAGAGAAGTAAAATATACCAGAACCTACCCTCGAAAATCTGCAGCTTGCAATTTGAAAGGGATTTGATTTGGGCTGTGGCTTTTTTCTGTATCTTGTAGCTGGTTGATTCCTACTCCAGCCCATTAGTATTTTTTAGCAGAGCTGCTGTCTCCACAAGGCTCCTGTATCTGATGATGTAGTCTGTAGATAACTGACAGTGGTTGGATGCCCACACAGCCCCTCACTCACTCCACCACCTTAGCTGGATGGGGGGGAAAAATGGAAAGCTCATGGCTTGAGACAAAGACGGAAAGACTGCTTACTCGTTACCATCATGAGCAAAAGAGACTTGATTTTAATTTATTGACAATTAAAATAAATTTGCATAGCGAGAAACAAAGGAAAAAAAATAAACCACCACCTTTCCTCCTGCAGAACTTCTTCCCATCTTCAACTACCCTCATTCCTGACTTGTCTACCAGCAGTGCTGGGGAGTGGGGGGTGTTATCAGTCTAGAACAGGCCTAGTATGGGGTAGCCCCCTGGCACCCAATATACTGACTTACAGAAATCATTGTTAAAGACAACTGAGAAGAGTTTTGAATATATTGCATGCTTGAGATTGCCTGTGAAGAAGGAAAAACTTTGCTCCCCATAGCCACCCCAGTGGCTGCACTGCTGGCTCTGTGCTGGCTTCTCATCCCACCTGAGTGGGTCACTTAACTCCCAGTTGCTTCCTTATTAAATCAAGTTCCATATTGATTCATTATTTAAAGGTGGGGGCTTTTCTAGCTTTAGATGCTCTAAACTAGTTTTAGTATTTAAATTAGTAGGAAATAGCACTTACTGACATCTCCTAACCTATCTAATTAAAAAAGAATAATGTCTAATTTACTTCAAGTCAACAAAAGCACTGAGACCAGCTGAAAAGTAGTTTGAGCTATACTGAGCAGTGTATGTGAAAAGGACTCTCAACGGTTTCATCTTGATAAGATTATTTGACCTTAAGAACCAAGTTTGCCCCATTGATGCTGAGGAGCTTCATTACTAACAGTCATCTAGACACACCCCACGGGCACAAACCTGGGTAGATCAATTAACTCTGTTAATTCTAGCCTATACTTCTTTTGAATGTGTTTTCTACCTATTTTGTTTCTCTTCCTCTTTGACCTGTAGGTTTTTTGGATTGCAGCCTAAACACGTGTCAGGAGGTACAGTTGGGAAGGAGCCTTTCTATCCAGGGGACAGACAGAGAGATGCAGTAACTCTTTCCACACCTGCACTGAAGAAAGAGGCCTCAGAGGTCGTTTGTCCCTTTTATCGTCAGCTGGAACAGAAACGTTGAGAGAGCAAACAGTTTTGAACAGCTTGGTGTGCAGCAATACTCCCCAGATATGCAGGAAAATGGGTTTGTCTTTCTGCCCTGCTGAGCTGAAGCAAGCCCAGGACTCAGTAGCTTAGTTTGGAAAATAGCATCAATCCTGTTTCTGGAGGGGACAGATGCTCATCCTGCTTTAGTCAGCA